TCTCCACCTTTTGCTGCTATCCACTCCTTGATGATTCTATTGTTACGTTCCGTCAGGCCATTTGTTTGCGGGTGGTATGGAGTGGTGCGCAATTTCTTAATGCCAAGTTTCTCCAAAAAGTTCCGGAATTCTTCACTCTTGAAGCATGGCCCTTGATCTATTAATATGGCTTTTGGGATTCCGTGAGCCGCTACCAAGTGATTCATGACAGCATGGGTAACAGTGCTAGCTCGTTGATCCGGGATTCCTGTCGCCTCAATCCATCGCGTGAAGTGCTCCGTCATCAATAAAATATATATTGCTTGCCACGCTTGGTCAATGGAAACGGCCCCATCACGTCGACCGATCAAAGTTCACCAATTTCCGAGACCGGGATCGTCATCATTTGCTGCTGCATTCCTCGGCAATCCGTGTTTATGAGCTGACATTGTTTGCACGAAACCACGCACTTCTCAACGTCCCTTTTCATCCCCGGCCAATACGCGCGTTGTTTCAGCAGATCGTAGGTCCTGGAACAAACTGTGCGCGCCATGTCGTGACAAGAAACTACCAGATTCCGTCTTAGTTCCATTGGAATGACTGGCACCGAAGGGTTGCTACCTCCTGGTATCCACATTAAGATCCCTGCTTCGTTCACTTGCAGCTTCCCAGGTCTTTTGCAAACGGTCCCAGCTGCTTAAGTTGGTTTTTGTTGAAGTTTGTCTGACCAGCTAATCGCGCGGTGATCAACTTGCGCAGGAGTTTGTCACTACGTTGCTCAGTTGCCAACCGTTCTGGATCCTGCTCGCACAGTATACCGTTAATACCGAAAGCTACGCTCGGCAGGTCATCATCATCTATCATGCGTGACAAGAAATCCGCAGTCTGATTTTCCCTCCCCGGCACGTGTTTTATCGTGAAATCATACTCTTGTAGGCGCAATGCCCATCTCGCCAGCTTTCCTCTGGGGTCTTTGGCAGACTTAAGCCACTCCAACGGTCTGCGGTCTGTTTCGACGTGAAATCGATGACCCAGGAGATATGGCCGCCATTTACCTAACGCCCAGACAATTGCGAGACATTCTTTCTCTATGGTTGGGTATCGGCGTTCCGCAGGTGTCAAAGTTCGGCAGGCATACTCAATCGTCCCATGGTTTTGTTTCAACACCGCACCGATCCCGACATCGCTGGCGTCAGTAGCTACCGTGAACACCACACCAGCAATGGGCAATTTCAGGGTCAACTCCTGCCATTTCCTGTAGAATCTGGTCAAAGGCTCGTTGAGCTTCTGTATTCCAAGTGAATTTCTTGTCTTGTTTCAACAGCTCGTAGAAGGGTGAGGCCAAGGTGTTGAAATCCTTGACTACTTTGCTGTAGTACCCGGCGCGGCCCAGGAATGTACGGAGAGTGCGTTTCGAGGTGGGAACTGGGCTGCCTTGTATCGTCATTATCTTCTCAGATAGCGGTTTCAGTTCGCCTTGTCCCAATTTATGGCCCAGTAAGGTGACACAGGTCTTTCCGATCTGGGATTTTGGTCCATTTATACGAAGTCCCGACTGCTGAGTGCATTCTAGAACTGCCGCGAGATGATGGATATGTTCCGCTTCTGATTGGCTGTACACCACGATATCGTCCCCGTACACAACCACGTTTTCCAATTCACTCAGCAATCGCAGCATTAGACGTCGGAAGGTAAACGGGGCTCCTGATAATCCAAAGGGCATCCTCTTAAACTGGTATTGTTTATCACCAACGGTAAACGCCATCTTCTCTCGATCTTTCTGTTTTATTGCCAGTTGCCAGTATCCTGATCTCAAGTCCAGGACCGTGAATATCCTCGACTGCTGCAGCCGATCAAAAATGTCAGCAACTGATGGAACTGGAACGAAGCGTGTCAAGGAAATTTCATTCAGTCTTCGGAAGTCGGCACAGAATCGGTACTTCCCATTCGTCTTCTTCACTAAGACCACAGGAGAGTTGTACGGGCTATGTGCCTCCTCGATCACGCCAGCGTCCAGCATTTCCTGCACTTGCCTGTTCACTTCAGCCTCCAGATGGATTGGTATCTTTCGAAGTCCATTGGGCCGATACGGTTGGCGAGTTAGCGGGATGGCATGCTCGATCCAATCGCAAAACCCATATTGGTTGCTGTCATCCGTAAACAAGGGTTGGTATTTGTTGATCAGCGGCTGCAAAGTTGGGCTCAAATGTAACACAGCAACGACCAACTGCGAAGATCTCATTTTTCCACGATTAGTGCGTGGTAGTGACCCGCATTCCATTAGCAATTTCCCACGCTTTAGATCAATGACAGCTTTATTGAGCTCCAAGAAATCTGCTCCCAATATGGTTTGTTTCGCATCTGGTGACACGAGAAAGAAGTGTGTTCGCTTTCGTCCCCCGATTCCCAAGGTGTGTTCGACTATCCCATCAATTCCCACGGAATGACCGCCAACCGCTCTTACGATCGTGCAGCACTACTGAAGCTTTTCACCTCGCCGATGTTTGATTAGTGACACCGCGGCACCCGTATCGATCAGACATGTTTCCATCGTTCCGTCCACTTCCATAATTGCTTCAACCGCACTCCTGCTCAACGTCCCAAGTACGCAATCCTCGGTACGAAGAAAAATAAGGTTTCACACGTTTATTCGTCCCACGAGTAACACCACGCCTCTGCGGACATTGTCTCTTCCAGTGTCCCTGTTTCCCGCAGATGAAGCAACATCCCTTTGTGAGCACCCGATAACGCTGAAGGCGAAGCTCACTGATGTCTTCCGTAAGCTGTTCCATCATCCGTTCCAATTTGTTCATCCGCTCCACATTCTCATGAGGCTCTTCCTCCAGCGCAGCTATTGGTGAGTCGCCCAGGTCTCGAGTAACTTGCGCCAACTCCTCCAATTGCATCTTCCGAGTAGCATTCGCAATCCGAACGCGCTCCGCGGTTGGCTGTGAGAGGCCGACCAAAAACTGATCCACCAGCGACTGCGTCGTTGACGGCCCACCCAACCCCGGAAAGGCGCGGTCCAACAAGCTCCTGAGGTGCACCGCAAACACGAGGGGATCCGTCCCAGCACCAAGCCGCGAAGCCTTGAACCGTCGCATCGCCTCCTGGCGGTCCGCTGGCGTGTCCAGGCCAGACAGCAACGCTTCATTCTCGGTGGTCCACTCCAACTTGACCGGACCTCTTCGCGCCGCCTCCAGAACCGCCTTCGCTTTGCCCTTGAGGAGACTCCGCAGGGCCGCCATCTTCGCCCGGTCCGCCTTCAGTATTACCGCCTCTGCCACCTCCTCGAAATCCTCCAGAAACGCCTTCACATCCCCGTCTTCAAATGGCTACGGCCGGGGAATCTTCATGACTTGCGAGGTCACGGCACCAAATGTTAGAACCCAAGGGGCAGGCGGTAATAGTTTATTGCTAAAGTGGCTTACACTAGGTGTGTTCCTTCATACCTTGGATGCGTGCGCTCATCTGCGTGATCTCCATGGAGTGTTCCCCAACTGGTGCTTGCCTCTGTGTTCACCCCTCGTGCACATGGAACTGTAATCCTGATGTCATCTTCAACTTTGGGGAAGTCGGCAGGGCTTGCTGTTGGTGTGTTATATTGCATCACCACACTACTTATACCCGGCGCAGTAGTATCTACCTTTAATCCACCACAATACGACATGCGGATACCTCAGCTTGTAAGATCACAAGCTGCAGTATTTGTCATCATGCTGGCCAAACGAAATTCTGCTTCACTTGCCAGGGCCTTAACAACGGATTGCCTATTGGGAAGTTTTGCTAGTGCCGGCTGCGCGTGCACGCCAACTTCCCAGCAAATGCAGTGGATGCCGTGCTATCAACATGAACCAAATATGTCAACATACCAATCAGTTTGTAGAATACAAAGTAACAGGTGAGTGACATTGCTGCCCTCAATTTATTGCTACACGCAGTGAATGGAGCAGTTCAAGCATAGATGTGGGTTGATACAACTCGTATTCTTAAGTTATGATGGAAAAAGTTCCAAAATCTGCAGCCACAGAAGATGTCCTATGCTGCACAAATTATTTGCCATTCGCATTCAGAAAAAGTTGCGGACATGCTCAAATGTTTTAGAATACGGCAACGGTTATCTGTTAAAGCGTAGACCCTTGTTTGTGCTGGCAATTGTGTCTATCAGCGAGTAGGTTAAACTAATCATCCAACGTTGTATTAATGCCTGAAAATAAAGTGTGGGTGGGTGGGTACGTTACCATCTTGAAGGTGGCGTAGGAACAGCGCTGATGGACAGCGAACGTCTCCCTAACGATTGTGTTTTTAGTTTGGATTTGTGGCACCAAAACTTTCGACGCTAGTTGGACAATACAAAATGTAAAGTCATTATTCACGAGAAAGTGATAAGTCTAAAAACTATAACATTATTACTAGGAATTCGTGGTTACATGATTTTAGCATTATGATCCCAGGTAATCTGGATAAAGATTGCAATTTACATAAAAAGATGTCTGTAGCCGTGTTTACCAGCATGCACTGCGTGAAAAATTCCATAGTGATATTCATCGATATAACGTGCTCCTTTTTTGAACGTTTTCAACACCGCTGCCTTCTAAAATAGCCATTGTTGTGTGTGTAACATTAAGTTATTAACCTTGTAACAGTGGCTGGCTGTTAGCTTTATTCACGCACCTGATAGCGATGTTTATGGTCGTAAGGTAAAGTTTGATACTTGCTAATTTGCTCACGAATACACACACATAATGCAAAAGTGGTCCGCGGCACAGTAAACAAGCTACAACCAAGCCCCCTTTATATTCGTAAAAAAAGCTAGCCCATTTTCTTAATTTGTAGTAACTAGACATTGTACTAATACACCTAAGTCGATTAAGTCCAGCATTACACCAAATATTTTCCTATTGCCGCAATTCTTCATAAGGCAGATACAAGTTTTCCAATGACACAAACATTAACTCTTGCAACCACAATGGACTTGGTGTATCAACTACACCGTGCTGAGCATCAAACAAAGCACTTACCGATTGCGAGGTTTTGAGTTTTTTGAACCACACTTGCTTGCTGAACAGCGCTGCTCAGATCGAGCAACATGCTGACCATAAAGCAGCTGCGAAGTACTTGGAGCAGTAAGTATTTTTGCGAGTCCATAACAGATCAGTTTTGATCATTTTGAAGAAAACACTAAAGAAAGGGATATATCGTTCGCATATTTTTAAATTCAGTATGCATAAAAGGTGTTATGCCATACACTGACTAGGCATCTTGACGGTCAAAAGAAAACACAGTATTGTGCGGAAATAATTGCTCAAAAATGACGAACTGGAACGGGGCTATCACTCGATGCAGTTGATTAGATCTAAAAAAGAGAACTTTCACCTGATGGAAACGCAAATGTGTCGTTGGTTTCTTACATCCGCAACGCAACCGCTCGTTTTGCCCAGGTCGCTTTCAAACTGAGACAGAAGCTTGGCTGTCACGTACATTGACATCCAAACTTTCCGGTATCATACGCGTGATGAAGCTGTGGCATCACTTTCAGACTACACACACGCATACGGTTTACTTTGATTTGCTGGAAAAGTTCTTGATAAGGTTGAATAGGTTTTCAGTGCTGCCACTTCAGGGGATTAGAGGATATGTAGGTAGACAGGTTGGTGAATTTGGCAATAGAAACAGTCCAATAGAAATAGTTAGCTAATACAGAGATACCAAGTGTGAAGTTTTATCCCAAACTACTCAAATTATGGGCATGCATGCAACGTTGAAATTTGTGGATCGACAATTACACATATTCCCAAACAACATATTTTGTAGAATTAGTCAGTTTTAGGAATTTTGAACCTCGAAATTCTTAAGGGTTTGTCCAATAAAATATAGTAAATAAAAGAGAGTACAAAAATTTTCCAATATCCTTCAATTAATGCTTTCTTAGTTTATGAAAGATGACTTCTTAATCTCACTTCATTTCAAAAATACAGGCTGTGCAGCCTGGGGCCTCTTTACCCTTAAGCTGTAGCTTGAAATCACACTAACAATAGCGTAAAACTTATAAACATTTCCCTAAAGTGACAATGCTGAGTTTCTAACTCCCGTTACTACGTATGTTTGGCAATGCATACTCAATCTAGCAGTAATTGGTAATCTAGGTATAACAATGATAACCAAACCTGCAAATATTGGCATATATACAATGGTCTATTCGCTGGTGAAAGGTAAAATTACAGGGCAAATATGAAAAAGTAAATGGGTTTGCTTGACAACTTTAAGCGAAAGGTTTAAGGCGGAGACCATCAATCAGTTCATCTAAACGCATCACAGGACGTGTGACTGTAGTTAATGATTACCAGAAAGTCCAACGATCCAGTGCATTATTTTTGAACTTTTACAGAACAACATTAGCGCCCGTAAATACAATAATGAATGAGGAAAAACAAAAATATATCATGTAAAGTGAGCAACTCTATGTCTACCCGAAGTTTTCTAAACTAGAAGATTATGGGAAGACAAATTTTCTTAAAGCGCAATGCTTAAATTGCAAATATGCGCGCCACAAGCATTTACGATAAAATTTTCTCAATGTATGCCATTCAGCCTACGGGATGACGGCGAGCATATAATATACACTCTGACTGTAATAGTAGGTCCAAGCACAGTGCAATCCTTGAAATCGCATATAACGCGTAGTTGCATATATAACATTTAGTCTGACCAGTTTTTCGCCACCGAATAATGACAAACACCAAAGACCGCACCTATATGATGATGGTATTACTTATGAAGAAACTCTTTAATCAGCTGTTATCCAACAAAGCGCCGCTTATCCCGTACTGAAGTGAGTGATGCGTCTCAAACATGACAGACTCGCACGACAAGGAAACCGTTCTTATAACAATAATCAAACAAAGCATGAGACCAACCAGTAAGCAACCCTAAACGATATACAGGGTCAGTTACTAACCATTCATAGATACTGATACTGATACTGATTAGAAGCAGCGAGTAGAGCATACTCTGTGTAGCTGCATCAATTGTCGCTCTTGGACATTAACACATTACTTATTATTCCGCTCTTTATATTTTGCCTCTGCAAAGTGTTTGTCTAGAAGCTTCTTAAATTCGTCCACTGAATTCGCTTCGATTACTGGCTGCGGCAGGTTGTTCCAGGTATTCACCACTCTGCGTTCGAAACAGAGTTGGTGAGCTACCCGCTTCACCTGCGGTACGATAAGTTTGTACCGGTGTCCTCGCGTGCTGCTTGGTGTGTGCAGATGAAGCAGTTGTCTCAACATGGGGTAATCACTCAGATGTAATATCCGGTGCGTCATGATTAGGTCAACCCTCAGCCGACGATATGCTAGGGTGTATAGCCCTAGTTTCTTACATCGGTCTTCATATGGCATACCTCGTAATTTGGGAACCAGCCTAGTGGCTACATGTTGCACCCCCTCAAGCTTTTCTACCTCGCCCAGCTTGATGGGACAATACGCTGGAGAGCCGTATTCTAGCATTGGTCGTATTATCGAGACGAAGAATCGAGTGGCAATCTCTTCGGACCAAGTGCTGAAGCTGCGCCTGAGCGCCCAAAGCATCCGAAGGCTGTTTTGGTACAGCCTATTCGTGTTGTCAATGGACTTTAGGTCGCAGCGTGAGAGCACACCGAGGTCGCGCACTAAAGACGCGAGATACAGCGGTTGACCAGCCACTGTGTACGTTCGGCTGTGCTCGCATTTACCCAACCTCATAAATTGCGACTTAGCAGGTTTGATGGGAAGGTTAACCTCTGCAGACCATGTTGAGAGGCTGTCGAGATCCTGCTGAAGTAAATCACAATCTTTGAGTGTGCGGATTACTCTACACCTTCAAGTCATCTGCGAACAACGCATGGTGATTGCAGTAGCTTAGGCACATCGTTTACATGGATCAGAAACAACATCGGCCCCAGTACAGTGCCTTGAGGCACGCCGCTGCTCGATGGATACCAGTCCGTTAAATGGTTGTCCACTTGGACTCTCCAATTCCGATCAACAAGGAAAGTTCTGATCCATTTGTGTAGCGAACCACCAACACCGTACATCCTCAGCCTGTCAAGGAGCACTGCATGGTTGGTTCCCATATATCAGATCACCCTCAGACTTACTAAGTATAGGTACGTATATGGAACGTATATGGAATGTATACGTACGTATATGGAACAATTGCCTCAACATGGGTAATCAGCAAGATGTAATATGCGGTACATCATGACCACCTCAACCCGCACTCGAGGATAAGTCAGGGAGCAAAGTTCAAGCTTCTTGCACCGGTCATCAAACGGCACAACTCGCAAAGTGCGGATAACCTAGGTGCCTACATCCCCAGTCGCTCAACCATTTGCCGTTCTCTCTCGACGGTAGGACATTATGCAAATGAGCTAAATCTATCAGTGGTTAAAAAATTGAAACGAAGTGGGGTGTGGTAGTCTTTACGGACCAGTTGCAGTTGCTGTGCTTGAGCCTCCAAGGCAGCTGAAGACCGTTTTGATAAAACATAGTTGTGTAGTCCACGAAATCTATGTGGTCCCGTGGGAGTACATCTTGGTTTTTAGCGAAGGCATGGCAAGAAACGTTCGACCGGCTGCAGTGTATATATAGCTTGACCATGGATATTCGGAAGATTGACGTATCAATACCGAACGGAGAGAAGATCAAGGTCAAGCTGAAGCAGATCACAGCCGGCGGGCTTAGTGACTGCTCTCCACATATTGAAGTAATCGGCAAACGACACAATAGTCTGATGTTAGCGGTTTATATGGGTCAGGAACACATCAGACCACAGTACCAAATGCATGAACAACGCAGTGGTCAAAAGATGCTAGTCGGTTAGGTCGTTGTCAACATGGACACTCCCCTTTCGATTAAAATGGAAATTATGAATCCATTGGTGCCACGAGCCACCAACACCTCGCACACTCGGCTTGTGAAGCAGCACCTTATTATTTGCTTTGCAAAACGCCTTCCGTAACCCAATTTAAATGGTGTCAACCGGTTTCCCCTGCTTCAGCGCTTGCAACAGTTCGTGCCTCTACACGAGTACGTTGATGTTGTCTGAGCGACATAGCTACCTCCATGCCGTGTAAGTATTAAGAGGCTTTCCGACCAGGTAAACTGCAGATGGCCAAATCTTACGATCGTTTCAAGTGTTTTAGCCAAAACAGCGGCCAGACAGATCAGCCGGTATTTGTCCAGTTTGCTTGGATTACTGCCGTTTGAGATTGGCCTTACGACTGAGGCCTTTCAGTCTTTAGGGGATAAATCTGTGGACAGCGAACTGTTAAACAGCTCAACCACTGAACGCGAAATAATGGCTGATATCGATTTGCGGATAAGGGGGTAGATTTCTCCGGGTCACAGAGATTTGGTCAAATCAATACTGGATGACAGCTTGCGGAAGTCATTGATACTGCAATCCTGGTTGTCGAATTCTACAGAGAAGGCAAAAGTTTTAATCAGTACATATGCCTGGAACTTATTAGACTCTGAAGCGAAACGCGCCGCCGATGCGGACGCACATTATCTGCTAGAGGTCATGGGCTGTCCAACACTGGAATGTTGCCTGTAGATTTTGGGCGCCGTTTTACGTAGACATTGATCACCTTAGGGGCATTTTCGCTGAGGCTACAAGCTTCTCTTCATACTTTGAAGTCTTTTGTGGTTTTGCGTTGTTGCAGGGATTCCGCGGTTTTTTATATCTTTCTCAATATTCATCAGAACCGGAACAAACGAAATTTTTCATGGCCAATATAGCCATCAAGTTAGTCTTCAATACTACTCACCGAACTCATATGGTTTTCTGGTCAAATTTTCCGATACGTAAGGAGTATAAATCGGGCCGAACAACGATCTTACTTCCTTAGTCACAACAAATCACCCAGCTGCAAAAGATAAACCCTTTAGTAGCGATTAGTCCATCTGACCCCCGGCTCGAGTGAGGCCATCAAATTCCGCTTTCCAATAACTGTAGGCTTGTACCCGTGCAGTAGTTTGTGGTAGCGACAGCTCCAAGAAGGTTTTGATAATTTAGTGGTCATTCCCTCTCTGGTCTTTAGGATCTGAGTGAATGCGATAGAAGGTCTAGGCGAGTTGGAGTAGAAAGCGCTGTTATGCGCATGA